AAGACTAAAGACAACCAAAGAAGTATACTGCACAATGAGGAAAAGTAGTGTCAGAAGAAGTACATTTATAAAGTGTATAATAGAGAAACTTCCAACACTAGAAGAGCTTAACAAGAGAAGACCTGATATATACATAACAACAGAGTGCCAAATGTGCCAAGACAAAATAAAAAAAATGCAATCACATTTGACAGCATATAAAGGACAAAAAAATCTTTGGAAAAGAATCCAAAAAGTAACTATTGCAACAACCTGGAAGGGACTAAAAGAAGAAAAAAAAATTCAGATCCCACCATATGTGTTATATACAGTGCTTTTTGGGAAAACAGAAATAGAAGAAATTAAAATGAGAAAAGCACTAATCAAAGGTCTTATTCCAAAAGAAACACAGGATAAAATGAGGCAGCTCCTAAGTACAAAATCAAGACAAAAGTTCATGAACATAGTAACAAAAACAGCCTGGGACACCTTTTACGAACAAGTATGGAGAATTCACTGTGAGAAAATTAATGAATGGGAGAAAAAAGAAGGAATAACAGGTGGAACAAAAAGAAGAAAAAAGAAAGAAAGAAAAACACCAGAGAAAAAAGGAAAACCGAATCAACAAATAATAGAAGAAAAAAAAGAGAAGGTGAAGGAAAAAGAAAAACAAATCAGAAATGAAGCACAGAAGACAATTCTAGAGCTTGTCATGGAAGGGAGAAGGCCTTTCCATTATGAACTTTAAGTAGTCAAATGAGCAGCTTACTTCTGCTTGAAGTAATGCAGCAGGTTGCACCTAGGTACCATTAGGGTGGCTGGGTGATGCTGGACTTAGTTTGTTAAGGATATTTATGTAATTGTGAATGTAATTTCAAAATCTTAATAAAGTACTAGCGTGACTGCTTAAGGGGAAAAAAAAAAAAAAATCAAATCATATATACCTTATTAGTTGTCACCTCACTAATCATAGATATAAAAACTTCATATTATGCTTTTTTTAAATTTAATTGATAATTTGGAGTACACTTAATTTGTAAGTTGAATTGAAATTCTTTAATGACTCAAGCACATTTTAAAATTTTATTACAAGCATTATATATCATTTGATTTGAATATATGATCCGAATTGTAACTTCGAAAATTTGATTTCAGAAACTACGTAAATTATGTAATTTTACACTCTAATTATGCATTAGTTAGTAATTTTAAGCAGTTTCAACCTGAAGTTATAAGTTTAAGCAGTTGATATTTAAAGCACGACATAATCATTATTACACTGATCCTTAACATGTCTTTTGTAATATAAGAACTTAACTCAGATTCGTAGACTTATTTTAAAATTCTTTAGAAAATTAATATTGGCTTAGTCAAGTCGATAAATCGGGGTCGACTACAAACACCATATTATTGTACTGAAGCTATGGCAAATTTTATAAACTGAATATAAATAATGGTCTTAAATGATGTTTTGAGATACAAGAAATGATTGTTAGCATTTACACATGAATTTTGGAATTTTATTGGCTAAAGAACATGTGGCAGAATCCGATGCAAGTGTGAAAAGATCAGTTTCCTAAAAATTATAGTTAAACTGTATTAAATAAAAATAGTTTTTACAATCTAACCAATATTAGATTACACGAAGTTCAAACAAAAAACTAAAGTGTTTAAAATTGGTTAACTACAAAATATTATATTCCAAAAATCATAATAAAGTTCATAAAATACATTGTACTAATATTTAGAATGAATAAAATGTTCAAAAGAGTAAAGACATGATACATCTAAAAATACATTATTGTTACAAAAATATATAATAATATAATAATCCAATTTTCAACTTTTCTCCCGTTTTTTCATAAAAATTAATTATTTGTATAAGTAATAAATTATTCTTGACTAGTCAAACTAGCAATTAAATCAGCCAAAGGTTGTAATTCGCGTTTTTCAATTAATTGAAACTCTTGAACAAAGTAAATATAATGCTTAAAGCTTGTATTCAGATGAGCCGCTTCTTCTAATGCCTCTATAACTGAAATATGAGATAAATAAATATGTGCATAAACACGAAACAATCGTTTAAATATATTCTTCACTACAGTTTGAAAATTGCTTGGAAACGGGTCACCTGTCAAACCAAGAAGTGTTAATTAATAAAACCATAAAAGTAATTGAAATATTAACAATCTTACCAATTTTACTTGGAAATATAGTTTCATCATCAAGTTGTTGCTGCACCCATTCCATTAGATGATCAACATATTCTGGGGCAGATAACTTTGTAGGTTTTTTATATTTTTCACCATCAGACCAATGATATTCGTATCTTTAAATAAAAAATCTTTAGCGTCTGCAAACGTTTAAAATACATGAAAGCAAATGATTTATTACTTTGGGCCAGCCGACATAATAGGGCACAGTTGTGGTGTGCAGAATTCAGTGATCGTGCCGTAAAGCATATTTGTTTGATTAAAAAAATCGTAGGCTAAAGAGTAATACGTTAATAGACTATTAAAGGGAAAATACATAGATTAAAAATGATTTTTATATCTTACTATTTACAGCCAACCATTCATCAAGATTTTCACCTTCGGGTAAAACTACAGCAAGTCTTAAATTTCCTGAACCAAGTGTTGCCTCAGCGTACTTTTGGAGTTGATGTTGTTTTGTACCTTCGGGCACACTTTTCTTTGACTTAAAAGTTTTTGTTTTGCTGGCTCTTTGTGATTAATTGAACATGCTTTTCTGATTAATTTTTGATATTTTATAAATTATTTTAAATGAAAAGTTTAATATTTACTTACAATCCTAAAAAATTCATTTTTACGATAATTAGATTGTATATAATTAAGATAAATTTATATCCCTTATCGTTAGTTCGAATATCTTAATTTGGATCGTGCCCATAAATCGAACTTTTCACATGAATATAAACACGTGATGATGAATAACGTTAACGGATGCGCAGCGTCAGTGTTGGCCTATGACCTTATGGCCTGTTACATATGGGGGCTCACACAGCAAAAGGGGCAATGGGGCAAAAAACAACTTCTTGAAGAATTAGAGTAACGTGCACCTAATATTTATAAAATTACGAAATAAAAAGTTTGGCCCATTGCCCCTTTTACTGTGGGGGTTCCCGTATATAGACACTGCACAGTGGGCTTTCATTCTGATTGGCTATTTTTGTAGATCAGGGTCCCCTGGGCACTCTACTTCGAGATATACTGTGAAAGTTACGGTTTCTATTGACGGCAGTCTCCGCGGTGCTCACTCTAAAAATATTTTTACATATTGTCTTCGTAAGATAAAACGTGACTTTAATCATTTTTTAAAATCAAATACAATATAAGAAAATATTTTTAGAGTGAGCACCGCAGTCGCCTGGACACTATTTCGAAGCCATTTCAATGATTTAATAGTTAAAAAAAAAAAAGCTGTGATCTTGAGCTTTCTTTTGACTATTAGAATATTAAAATAGCTTCGAAATTCATCGATATATAAACTTTCAAAGTTAAGATATTAATATTTTATTAAAATGCTAATCTACTTATTGCAGTATTGACGATAGCCGTTTCTATATTACAAATTTTAAGTCATTAATGACAAATCTAATTTTCCAATTCAGTTTAAAACAAAATTTATTGAGTGTTAGGTTTAAAAATTATACACCTAAGGCCATATAATTCTAATTTCTCGGTTTTCATAACATGCAACTTCTAAGTAGACCAGGCTAGGGGAGCATTTAATAATTTTTTTAAAAGTTTACAAAATTTGACCCGGACAGGTTATGAAAACCAATTAATTAATTTTGCATGGCCTAATTTCCAAAATCAAAATTTTAAACTCATTAATTTAAATTATTATAATCTGCTACGTATACTTATTAATATGCATTATATTAAAAGTAATTAATTACATTACCTAACCTTTTTTATGTAGCATGAAAAAAAAAAATTTATAAGCACAATATGATTCGAGCAACGTAATAGTCTCTGAAAATCATATTATACAGTAGACTTGCAATCGATACTGTCTAAATGCATTAAAAAAAACTTTGGTTTTAATTATTACTCAAAATTGTCTTATATACATTATATAAATGTATGAAAAAATCCCTAATGAATGAATTGTAATTGGACAGTATTGATTGTATATCGATTATAAGGACCGTGATGATTAAGATTATACATATAATAAATCATTAAAATTAAATGCTTAGATGACTGGTAACAATCTTTTGTATTCTTTCTATCTCTCAAAATAATATAAAGGAAGATTACCATATAATAGTATAGCTTTTTACCTAAATAAAATAATAAAATACATATTTAAAAAATGACTAAAGATAGAAAGAGATAATTAAACATTTACTTATACCTTGCTGAAGAAATAGGTTCTTTCATTTCTTAGATTTATTTCTGTGTACTCATCTGTTTGATTATTTATGCTGGAATACACTATTAAAATTCAACAAAATTAATACACCTCCCAATAATATTAATTTAACATCCAAATTACGGGAATACACGCACCAATCCATGACAATTTATTGTTTTTTCCTATAGAAGTTGATTTTAAATTGAAACTTAAACGAAATGTAAATTTAGGAGATTCATGATCGGTGGCGGATATTGTTAGCATATGATCATCATTCAATACCCATGTTCCTTTCATAAATCCTTTTGATTTGTATTCAGGTGCAAAGTGTTTTACTACATTGATTGGTTCTGTTGTTGTCAATAGTAATATACATGTACCGTCCGAGTAGAAACGAAGGTATCGGTAATAGGTTACTAGGTGAATCGGCTGATGCCAGGCGTTCTCTGCTGCCCCAGGTCTTTAAACAACTGAATAAGATAGGGCAAGGCACAAAAGAAAACATGCAATGGCAATTAGGTTACATACCTCAAATAATGGCACGTGGATATATAAACTCCATCCAATCTTATGCGAGGCCTATTAATGCATCAATTAGCGATTAATCAAATAATTATAATCTATGACAAAAATATATATCACCTCTCGATATACATCCGTCTCCAATCATTAGCATATAAAAATTCCACATCTTTCGCCAACAATTTATTTGATTCATTACATTCTAAATTTGTATATCGATACACTTTTTCACACAAATATCTCCATAATGAAGGCTCTCTCGATAATAACAAGAATTTCTTGCAAACTAATCCAAATATTTCAAGAGAAGTTACGTCCCCTACCATGACTAATTGTTTAAGTATGCATATTATCGACTCGTTAGGAAGTTTTGCAATGTAAATTGGGTTGTACGGAATAAGTGGTTCGAGTGTAAGTTGCATATCCTTAAATGAATCAATTAAAGTTGTCAATTGATCTTTATCATCCTGCCTTTTGATGTCTGAATTTTGAGTTCCTGACTTGGATCCGTTTTGATCCCTTTTTATTATGTCGTCCTGATGGGTAGTCGAGTTAGAATTATATTTATTTCCAATAACATAATCTTCTCTACTGGAGATCGAAGGAAAATGTGGTTGCTCTTCCAAGTGTTCGGCAAGAATTTTTGAAAAACTTGAACCTCCAATTTTTTGGCCAATTGCTGCATTATGGAAATACTTCTTATACGCATTATCAACATGACAATCAAGTCTCAAAGCTTGGCGATAATACTTGAGAGCTTTGAAAGCAAATGATAAATTAATAAAAATTCCCAAAAGATATTGAAATATTTTCAACAAACCTTCACTCAAATTTCCTTCTTGCTCTTTGGTAACAGCCATAACATAAATTTCCAGAGCTTTATTACGTTTAACTTCCTCATTATCATATGTTTCAGGAATAAAATTATTAACTTCATCTTCAGTTTCCTTCAAGTGCTCTAACGGTTGAACAGGCACTTTACATGATAAGCTATTTGAAGTAACAGACCCTTGAGTTGTTTGCCTTTTTTGTTGAGACAATTCGGCTTTCCATTGTTCACGAAATTCATCGAGCTCATTATTGGAACTGTCAACGTTAGAGGATGAATCAAAATTTTTCATCTTAAATATTTCGGTTGGTAAAAATGTGTGGCGAAGTTTGAAATGATCCGAACTTATATCTGTTTTAGGAGTACAAACTCCATATTTAATTTGATTTAATTGGTCTGACGTCACTCAAAAATAAATAATGGCATTCTCTTTGGAGCGTTTAGTGGTACGAATCGAAAACTACTAATCGATTTAAAAATCAAACCGTTGAATGATTATCTACCTAATCTTCGGAGAAACAGTCCAGGTCTAAAATTTATTCTCCAATTTCACCAGTAGTGATGAAATTAATTTCACCAGCATCTTTAGAGCAGTGCTTATTAAAGTGGAGGGACACGAAAAATCTTTTGGCGTGCTCAGAGACAGTGTAGTCATGGAACAGTTTTGAATATAAGTTCGGACACTTAAACCTTTTAACGAAAAAAAAATAATCATAAACAAATGTCATATTAGTACCCTTTATTGAACTACTTATAATGAGAAGTACATTATTTAATTAATGTTATTACTGCCATACCATTCGATTGAGTTGGAAATTATTATTAGACAGATCCAATAACCAAACCGTACAAATATATATAGGTCAGTACACAGTAAAAAAGGGCTATGAGACAAAATTTTTATTTATAAATATCAATATTAATCAATTATTAAAATTTGAAATATAAAATAGAGATAAAATATACTGTGTACAAAATTGTACAAAATTTTATCATACTAATGCGGGCTAAAAAAATTTACTGTAAATAAATTACATATTTAAAAATATAGGCTGGAAAAAGTAAAACTCTTTTTCATACATTGAAACAAACCAAACATACAAAAATAAAAAATATATGCTTTGTTCTAATGGCACTTCAGTAAAGTTACTTTTATTTTTCCATTATTCTGCTTTATGAATTTCATTTTTTTTATTGTTTTTATTTTCTTTCTGGTTTTTAATTGCTGTAATTATGTCTTAGTAGTCTTGTTATATTATATAAGACTACCTAAATGCCATAATTACTTTTTTATTAAAGTGAGTAATTTAGGCATACATGTATAAACATGCTATGTAACTAAACTTCTGATAGCTATATACCAATTATTTGGCATTCCTATAACAAAAGCAGGTAATAGAACCATATAATATATAGGTGTCTTATATATTAATATAAGTAATGCCAAAGAAAACTATATAAATTTTATATATTTTAAGTTAGTTTTTTTCTTAGCATCATCTATATTTAATTATTCTTAACAAAGCAAGACATTTAAAAAAAAACTAAGTTTTATTTTTTTTTTTGGTATTAAGGTAAGGTCTTGCTCATATCTTTATTAATAATTTTAGTTGTACATATTAATATACTATATATTAAAGATATACTAAGATTGTAAAATACAAAATAAACAAAATCATTAATAGACAACTCTTCTTAATGATCACTTGAACACAAAATAGCTAGAAGGAAAAAAAAAGATTTCTGCAAAATTGGTAATAAGAAACATCTTAAATGGCATTAAATAAAAAGAAGCAGCAACATAGAAAACAATAAGAAGTATAGAAGAGAAGTGTGTTACAAAAATAATAGTATAACTATAAAGAAAAAAAAAAATTAGAAAATTTTCTTAGAAAATAACAATAGTACAGAATTGCCACCAGACTCTATACATAAATCTGTTTATATTACACAAAAATGCGAAACAGCAAAACAAAACAAACACATGTAAACTATCAAACTAGAATAAATAAACAGGTTATGCAACAAGTAAACAAAGTTTATATAAGAAAAACGGAGTAAATAGGAAATTAACAAAACCAATCAGAAATACATAGACATAAGTACAACATAAGATTAGAAGAGCATAGAGAAAGTCTATCAACAATTTTTATGAAAAAGGCATACTGGGCAATGAATAGAATACACAATAAAATATTCTTCAACCAATCAAGTATAACATATATAATACCAGATAGAAAAGACAAAATCATTGTAATGCTTACAGAGCAAAAACCTGAAGAAGTTGTATTGTTAAGAGTAACAAGAGAATTGATCGAAAAAGCAAAAAAAGAACAGTCAGAAAAGAAGTTAGACTTCACAGAGCAAGACAAAAACATGATGATAATTGAGATTAAAGAAAAAGACAAACAAAAAACAGAAAAATCAGCACAACAAGAAGCAACAAAAAAAAAGAAAAAACAAGGAAATATACACAAAAAAAACCAAAAAATTAAAAGAAAAACAGAGAAAGAAGATACGAACAAGAGAAGACTATTAGATGAGAACCTCGAAACAACAAAAGAAGCAAGAACAAAGATAAGTACAGAAAGCATAAATAGAATAGAAAAGAAATTATTGGTACAGAGAACCGAAACTAGAAAAGAACAAACAAAAGAGACCAGACAAGAAGACATAGAAATGGATGGTAAAGAATTGAGACAAGATTCAACAATAGAAGAAAAAGAAAAAGAAAAAAGAAGAAAACAAGAAGTTGAAAGAGAAATAGATATAGTAGGAATCTCTTTAGAGAAAAGTATATGGGCACCAAGCAAAAGAAACTGCAACAAAGGCAACAGTCTATTAGCCAACATTCCTGTATACAATGTACCTGAAGGTTCAAAAAAAGAGCATATGAAGTTTATTAGCTTGTTATTAAAAGATAATGAACATATTAAGGATATTAGTGAAGTTTTTAAGCAAGAAAATTTGTGGATTGAAGTGAACTTCGACTGTAAATTCAGCAGAAATGAAGTGATACAAAGAATTAGGAAAAAAGAAAGCAACTAGTACAGGATAATACCAGAGAAAGATATTGAAGAAAGAAGAAAGAAACAAAGGAGAATACCAAGATAAAAAAGCCAATATATCAAATGACAAAAGGAAAGGATATAGAAAAGAAAAAAACAAAGATGAACTAAAAAAAGACCAAAGAAACAATAATGACAAAAAAACAAAAGACAAAAAGTTCATAACAATTTGGGACTTACCAACAAGTATAAATAAAAAAGAACTAGAATATATTTGCAGAAGATTCAAGAAAGCACAAGTAACAAGAATTAAGAGATCCAAATTCAAGTTTCTTGCAGTAATTCAAATAAAAGAAATAGAAGAAGGAAGCATTTTGTGATCCATACTGGTCAATAGCAACAAACTGGTAAGAGTGCCAGAAAGAGAAAAAGACTACAAGACAAAACAAAAGCAAAAACAGTATATAACAAAGTTAACAGAGCTGCCGAGTAATGCTTCAGAGGTTCTATTATTATGATGTCTAAGAAGCAAAGGTGCAAGATCAGTTTATATACCACCAAATAGAAATGGAAATCAAAAAAAAACTGCAATAATTATATTTGCAACAGAAAGAAAAATAAAAACAGCTCAGTCTAAACCAATCATGTACAACAACTTTTGAGTATACTGGGTAAATAAAAAAGCAAGAGAAACAAAAAGAAGAGAAAGTCTGAGAGGTAGAAGACAAAGAAGCTGAGATAGGGCTAGTCAAAATTTATAGAGAGAGTATACAGAAATAGAAAGCGATCCTCAGATATAAAACATAGAAGAATAGTTAGGCGATAAAAATAATGATGCAGAAAGAAGAAAAGAAATAAGCAACAGAGAAAAAAGAAAAAGAAGTTGTAACAGAAATAGTCAATACTCAAACAAAAGATATGTGATAATGGAAAGTGATCCCTAACCACAAAATATTGGTAAATAGTTAGAAGACAGAAACACTAGCATAAAAGAAGAAAGAGAAAACCTGAAAGAAGCAAAGATAAAATTAGATACACAACCTTATTCAGAAATTAGACAAATTGAGAACATTTTAGGTCAGATGTTAGACAGACTAAATAGATTGGAAAATATATATCTAAGTACAAAAGAAAGTCTGGCTGATCGCTCCTAAGGGTGCCCTAGTTGAACTCAAAAATACAGATAAGAAAATTGAAGACTTTCTGCAAAAAGAAAGAAAAATGTTTGAAGGAAAAAGAAAAGAAATATTACCTGGTCTTAGAAATGAAGAAAGCAGAAAGTAAAAAGAAAGATTCAAGAATACAAAAATGATGCAGGAACAACTAAAGGAAAAATAGAAGAAAGGAAAAAAAGAAATTAAGATTGCATATCATAATATTAATAGACTTAAACTAAAGGTTGGAAACTTGAAAACCTGCTGGGCTGAGCAGAAGAAGAAGAAATTGTGATATTGGGAATTACTAAAACGAATCTTACAGAAAGAGAAGAGAAGTTTCTAACACATATAGTAAACAATAAATATATAGGACATTGGGTAAATGCAGCAGAAGACAAAAAAAAGGATCAGGCATCAGAATTCTAGTAGATGGACAATAGGAGAAACACATTGTTGCAGTTAAGAAAATAAGTGAATACATAATGGAAATTATACTATACTTTAAGCAATTAGAGTTAATAATAATTCTGGTCTATATACCATTTAATGACAAAATGTTGGAAAGAGCATCTAACAGAAAATTGTAGAAACAGTCCTAAAAAGAAAAAGACAAACACAAATAGTCATAATGGGTGATTTTAATCATACAGCAAACAATAAACTAGACAGACAATACCCACAATCAACAAACTACAAAAGACTGCCAATTTTTAACTGGATGAAAAAGCAGGATTTTAGTGACATATACAGAGATATGCACCCAACAGAGCAACAATATACATAGTCAAATGAAGAAACAGCAACAAGAATTAACTATATATGGATGTCAGATGGGCTTGCAACAGAGTTGCAAAAAGCAGAAATCGAAGAAGCAGAAAAAATTACAGAAAGTGATTATAAAATAGTAAAAGCAGAAATATAGATCAAACATGTAATAGCAAGGAAAAGTGAAGCAGAGGTTAAGAGGAAAAAACAGTCAAAAACACTATATTTGTATGATCAAGCAAAAACAAAAGATTGGGAAAACTATGCACAAGAGTTACAAAAATGACTAAAATTCAAAAAAACTCTAAAAAACATTCAAGAGGGAAAACGAGATGAAGATAGAAGAGTAAACAAAATAAATA